GGGGTCTTCAAGAGGAGGTTAGATGAGTATCTAGCTGGGGTCATCTAGCCCCAGCACTCTTTCCTGCCTATGCAGGGGGTCAGACTCGATGATCTATTGCGGTCCCTTCCGACCCTAGCATCTATGAATCTGAATGGGCAGTGGTGATGAGTTTTAGACCTCAAATTCTTGCTGGCAGTCATAGACTTATAGAGTATTTCCATCAGTTCCATTTTGAATATAGAGAAGGAAGGAGTTCTTCAGACAAGCAGCATTTCTTCAGGTCTTTCTCTGGCTCCTTACCTCATCCCACCAACTTGCTCTGGGTCCTTTAAAAGACCCTCCTTATCATACATGTTTCTAATGATCAGGATTCCATTATCTTTCAGTTGGTGCAGTCTATCCCTGTTCTCTTGGCCCTCTGGCTGTTGGTATCAATCATCAAGCAAGACATGTCTTTCAAATAATAGTGACAAAAGGTGTCAAAAGAGCCAGCTGCTTGCTAATTTCACAACTAAAACCCTGCAGCGGTGATCTTAAGACCACAGTTGCAAAACAAATCCCTCCACCTGTTCTACCTCCTTTAAGACCAGACCTGAGACAATGGGGATGATTAGGGGGATGCTTAAGAGCATGCCACAGATGGGCACAAAATGAGTTGGTAAGGATGGTGAGAATGCAACACCCACCCACTCCCACCACCACCACTCAAGTCAAGATTTGGAGCATCAGGACAGGGCTTAGTCTGTGCAGGAAGTGTAGACCTGCTCCTTTCAGCCTCAAAGGAAAAAGATTGTGACAGGCAGATAGATATTGAAGCACAATCTCTAGAGTACAAATCTGTGTCATGCAAGCTGGAATGCCTCGTCTAGTACATCCTAGCCCCTCCAGCTGTAGAATCTCCTCTATAAGTGCCAATAATCTTCCTTCCTATGCCATGGCCCCTCACCTATAGAAATGTTCTGTTATTAAAAAACTAATCAGTATTTCCTAAAGATCTGGATACTTGCCTTCTATTCACAA